GGGCTGCTCGAGCGTGCGCCACGTGTGCTGGAAGCACTCAAAATCCCCAATCTCCAAATAAACCTGCCCACTCAACCTCACCCACCAACCCCCCGCATACCACAAACACGCCACAAACGTCCCATACTCCTCCACCGCCACACGACCCACCCACTCCCTAACCGCCATCCCAACCTCCTCATCGCTCGCCCCCGCCATCCCCGCAGTTTGCTGCCTCACGCCGCCCACATCGAGCGGCAACCGCACATTCGCCATGCAGCACTGTGTCAGCGTGTGCGTGGCGTTGTCGAGGACGTGGGTGCCGAGGATCTGGGCGACGCGGTGGGCACCGGCGAGGGCGAGTGTGCTGCAGTAGGTGCGGATTTTTTGTTCGCCGCCGAGGTGTTGGGTGCGGTAGGTTAGGGCGGTGGGGACGCAGAGGTAGGGTGCGTTGTCGATTGTGCCGACGAAGTCGAAGGCGAGGGTGAAGGGGGAGGTTGTTGATGATGTTGATGATGTTGGTGGTGGTGTGTTTGTAGTGGTGGATAGGGAGGGAGGTGAGGGGAGCGGGGAGGGGATGTTGTGGGAGCTGGATTTTGGGATGAAGGCGTGGGAGGTGGGGAGGGTGGTGCGGATGAGGTGGTGGTTTTTTGTGGGGACGTGGAAGACTGCGCAGCCGCGGGGGACGTGGAGCCATCTGTTTTTTTGTAAGGGGGTTGTAGTCAGTAGGCTGTTTGTTATGGACTTGGTTTTCCTTTGCTGTGGTGGGAAGGGAGAGGGAGAAGGGGGGATAAGAGAGAAGAATACATACTTGTGACAATTGCTCACAAAGAAATCCGCCCCCAATGCCCCCAAATCCAAATCGATATGACCCACCCCATGCGCCCCATCCACACAACTCAATACCCCCAACTCCCTACACACCTCCACCAACCTCTCAAACGGCATCCTGACCCCGGGCATACTAACCACGGTATCAAACACCGCAACCTTGACCTTTCCCCCGCTACTCTCCACCTCCCCCACCACCCTCCTCAATTCTCCAACCAACCACTCATCTTCCACAGGATACGTATACTTGATCTTGACGCTCTCGGCCGCTGTCGTCTCAGTAATGTACGCAACGGTCTTCTCGCAGGCGCCGTAGATGGTGTCAAAGTACAGAATGTGGTCGCCGGGGGAGTAGGTCAAATTGCGCAGGACCGTGTTGATGCCGGTTGTGGCGTTAGGGACGAAGACGAGAGTGGAGGCGGGGACGTTGAGGAGGGTAGAGAGGGCGGCGCGGGAGGCGGTTAGGAGGGGTGGGTAGAGGTAGCGGATGAAGTGGTCGGGGCGGGCTTCGGCGGCGTCTTGGTAGGAGCGGAGGACAGTGCGGATAGGGGAGGGGTAGGTGCCGAAGGAGCCTGGGTGGTGGGGATTGTCGTTAATGGAGGGATGTGGTGAGGAGTAGGGGTGTTGCTTGGGAGAAAAAGTTGAAAGTGCGTGAGGGTCTGATGCGCGGATTGTGGCTTCCGAAGTGTTTGTGATGAGGATAGAGGAGATAATGGGATCATCAACTGATAGTATAGTTGTATGAGAAGGATTGATGGGATGACGTTGGAGTAGAGAGTACAAAACAAGAACAAACATACGCCTGAGTATAAAAGCCAAGTCCAGATATGAACGAAGACGGACGAGGGACTTTTAAAAGCTTGCGACTAAAAACAACAGAAAGTTCAAAGACGATATAAAATAAAGATCAGAACCAAAGCCCACTCAATGTTACCACAGAAAGAACTCCACGCGTAGGCAGCAAATCAGACTTCAAAAGAACTAAACCCACCATGATTCAAATTCACCCACCCCTCGTCAAACAAAAACTCCTTCTTCCTCAACTCCCTCCCAAACTTCACCCCATCACTCGTCCTCGCATCGAAAATAGCCGCTTCGGTCATTGTTGCTGAGATCCGTAGTCTCGTCGTTCAGAGTCCAGACCTGAGACAGTTGTGCTGCCGGTACTGTACTAGGTATCCAAGGAAAATCAAGCCAAGTAGTCGAGGATTGACTTCATGTACTAATACAACCAGCGTGTGAAGTTCCTGGAAGTTATATACAGTATGTCTTGCTCATGAGTCATATCACGGCACAAGTCAATTTGGGCGCGTCGAAAAGTAGTTGATAGGGCGCAGCGTGCCTGATTGGGAAAAAAGTGGATGAGTGATTTGTCTCGACGGGATTAAGATGGATGATGTAAGCAGGTCATGTGATGAGTGTCAAACTAACATACTCATGTAGTAAAGGCTAAACTGTAAGGCTCGGTTAACTTTAGATTCTTTGTATGATTGGTTAGACGGAGTGGAAGGGTTTAATACGGTATTTGCTTTGAGTGAGAGATTTCGATTGTGAAACGCTGCAATCGTTCCAGATTCCCTTTAGGTCGGACAGATCTACGTACATAGGTATCTATGCTATAGTATCCGATGTGGTGCCATGAGTAAGTTGCCGTTTTGGCCAATACGATCCACAGATGGTCGGTACTTGCCACAGAGGCAATCTCCACTATGAGCGGCACACCGATGGTCTTTAGGTCTTACAGATCTAAGTACAAGTATGTAAGGTATATTTCATTGCATAGCCACTCCCATCACCCATTGCTAGATACTAAACCTATTAGGTAAGCGCTAGGATTCAGCTGGTTTGCCCTACAACCTTATTCCCTGCTTAGTTGTCTAGCGTGTATTATAGTTTCTTTGGTTGCTAAATGAAATTGCTGGCCACAAGCCACAATACGGCTTTTTTATTAGGTCGTGCTTAGTACTCTGCTTTCCCCTCACCAAAACTCTCTATGCTAGCCACCTGAGCAGGAAATGAGATCGTAGCTCAAGTCCTTGAGAGTATAAATATTCCTAGCAAGCACACTTGATAACTATCACCTCAGATTAACTATCACTTCAGCATTTCCTGTGTCTAACAAGACTTTGTATAACTTCTTGTTGTCGTTGTATACTACTATATCAACATTTATCTCGCTAGCATTCCAAGATGCGCTTCTCTCCCGCTGTAGTTTTATTCATGGCTGTTGGCAGCGTCTTAGGTTGTAAAGAGTACTACGGTACGTCTCTATCTGGCTTATGCAACCCTATTAATTCAGCCTACTAAACTTAGTGTAGAATCATGTCAAGAAAACAGCGACTGCTGCCACTGCAAAGGTCTAAACATGCCCATGACATGCGAAGTCTACCCCCTCGGTTTGTTCTCCCCTGATTCTTTGACCACTAAGTTTTCCTTTTACTAATAGGGCGCGCAGCTACATCAAGACTCCTGAAGGGCATTTACAAAGCTTGCCAAGTACCCGTTGGCATGGATCCAAACAAATGTTAAGTTGAAGCTGTACACCCTTGATAGCTTCGGGGTATAGTGTGAGGATCTGAGTAGCTACAATATAAAGCAGCTAGTGTTAGATCGCAATAGTTAGTTCTTAAGGATAAATAAGAGATGATTTAAAACTACTATAGACAGTTAACTAAGTATATTACTATACACATTATTTAAGTTAATTATAATTTACTAGATGGATATCTTCTGGTCTCTATAGACTTAGTAATAGTTCCTATAACCCCTAGTAGTAGTCCTTAGTAGAGTAATTATTTACTACTTAGCAAGTAAACGCTTGCTACTTGGTAGAGTAATTAGTCACATAACTTATTGTAACGACGCAGGTAAGTAGGAACGTCCGATAGGGGTCCGATACGACTCAAAGGCCTATGGGAGTGCGCGTCTGTATAGAGATAGAACGATTGATTCCTACACCTAGAGGTCTTGTACGAAAAGACATGAGAAACATGTCCATCTATCTATGGGCGAGAACCTGCCTATATACCTAGGGGATTCTGGCCGAAGGTAGGTTCAAGTCAGGGTGCTAGCCCTAGGAACCGACTCAGATAGTTAGTCGTGGTAACTATGAGTAGCAGAGTCGTTACACTACGTTCCTACTTACCTGCGTCGTTACACTTACATTACGCTGAGTCTTTTGTGTTTCCTTTTCTCGTGTTTGGCTGTGGCGTGGTTGTTCGAACTGTTCGACTAGGTCGTAACACATAGAATTAGCTGTATTATGGTACTTCTTGCATTTTAACACTAGCTATTAGATTTAACTCTAGCTTTAATATTCATGGTAGACCCTTTACATCTGACTAATTCATAACTTTTCATTCATTGGATGCCTCGACATTGTGGATCTGTAATTCGTACTAGAATGCATCGTTGGGCTCGCGATCGGTACCCACTTTTGCTTGCGTAGGACATGACTAGCGTTGGGTACCTATTGTAGGTGTTGGGCAACCTTAGTACAGATTGCGATTGGTCTATGAGAGGGATGGTGGAGTGGGCAGGTCATTGGCTACATTGGGTTTGGGCTATAGAACTGTGCTTTTGAGGGTTGTGTTGCCATGGAATCTAGATCCAGTGCTGTAATGTGTGAATTGAACATAAGCCGTAGTCTCAATTTTGTTACCACACGTATTTTCCCACAACGTGAAACAAACCATCGCTAGGATGTTGAATATCATGGTGGGAAATAGTCCGCACCAATCTAGATTATGTACAAATCGTGTAAAGAACGATAGAAAGAGTATTGAGTGACTGTATTCTTCATGGCGGTATGAGCTTTTCTTCTTCTCACAGCAACGGGTATCAAATAGTGCGCACACCTCGCGCCATTTCCATTCTCACACGTCGCCTGTATTGATCGCGGAATTGGATGCGCCCATATGTGCCCAATCCTACGGCAAGGAAGAAGAAGAAAGCCCAGACAGAGGTAATTACAAGGCCGATGGGAAAGAAGGCAAGATACATGCCCGGGACAACGAATGGTGCGGCATCTTGTGCAATGGCGGAAGCAGATGCTGCAGCATTTGGGTCGGCATTGGTAGGGCCTTCGGCGGCTCTAGAGAAGACACCATTGACGAACGAGGCATCGCCAGACGAGAGGGTGGTCTCGACGTCCTGGCCGGTGATAGGGTTGCGGGCTGCTAGGTCAATCTGAGGGATGAGTAGAGGTTGGAGTGCTTCTCTGATATACAATTAGCAGCATGTTCGATTCAATCGCAAGGTGTGAGCTTACTGAGTCATGGCCGACCCCATCAGATTTGCATTGACTCTGCCGACATACATGAGCACCTTGAGTTCAGTTATGGTGTTGATGTTTTGCCTTTCAACTAGCATCCCGTCCTTGACCGGTGGCCAGTTGATATCCCGCTTGGTGAAGTTGCCAGCCATGTTTTGTACCGTTGCACCAAGATAAGACAGTGTCATGCTAACATCTGCAGCGGTGACCCCCACCCAGGGGTCGATAGGAGCTGAAACGTTGTACATGCGCAGCTCGGCCTGGAAGACACCAGTACTGTTGTCAAGGAATGGCAGGTTGTAGCACACTACGATTCCACTCGGATTTGAAGCTTGGCCATTGAGGTTCGAGAGTGTGTCCATGCAAGCCTGGCGAGTCTGTTCTTCCCATTCTGCAAAGTTGATTTGTGACGCGTCGCCAGATCCTGGTGTCAAGGACGCCAAAGGAGCTGTGTCGGCCGGGTTCGAGTCTTGTCTTCGGGTGAGTGTTGCCATCATGTTTGAGTCCCGTCGAAGTATTTCCTCCACGTCTTCGCTCGATTGTAGGAGTGCATTAGCCTGAGCACTCTTGACAGCGGCCACATGTCCGACAGTCAGTAGACTGCTCACGAGGACAGTCGTGAACAGCATGGTGAAAGTGATATTAGTTCGGACTAGAGTATTAAAGTCGGTAGGATGAAATTCGCAGGCTGCCCAGCAGCGTACTAGAAAGGAGCGATGGACGAAGAGGCGTCGAGAGATGGAAAGAATAGAAAGTTTGAAGATCAACAACAGCAAGAAAGAAACCAGTTCTACCGGAAAGTCATTAGAAGAAGGCGTATGGCGCAAGCACGAATAAGAAAATTACAATGGTCGCACAGAGAATGCGGTGTGAGTAGCACAGGCGAAGGTGGATCAAACGGATAGGCTTGCAATGGCGTGACTCTCGAGACCCATCAGACTCTGCAGAAGCAGCACGAAGCCATAACAGAAAGTCCAGGACAATCTTGATACGGATACTGATTGAGGCTGCGACGGATAATACACGCTCTTTTCTATGCGTTCCTCTCAGACGGAAGCTTAAATTAGCACAATACGGTTGCGACTGGCACAGGCCAACCAAGCTTTGTCTGCATTTCAAGCTTAGTGTGTATGGACAGGCAGATGGCATGACGATGTACAACTCCTTGAGACAATTGGTGTTGAGGCTGATGGCCGGGCTACACGGTCAAAACTAGGGGCGCTTCAGGTGTACACTAAGTCCGCACGTGAGCTCGCGTCCTGGCCAATCAGCGCGTGTCGTACCCAATTCTTCCAATTGTGGGGTTTCACTCACACCCCTCCCCTAACCCCATCAACCAACCCCCCTTCACCCCGTCTTTTCTAGCCTTGAGCCTCTCTAGTGACGCCATTCAATCCATCCTTGGTGAGCTGTATGTACCGGTACCTTGCCGGTTGTTGTTCACACGGCACTTGATGGCGGATCGGACGGTTGGAAGATCACGCAATGTTGACAGATGAACTGGCCGCTGTCACCGCCATATCGTAATACCTCAACTACCTGAACACTGCGACGACACCTCTCCTCCCTTCCAGAGCATCCAGGGCGAGCTGCTAGAGCGCGACTGTTGGGCGGCTGCACTATGCACAAACACACGTCGACGCGTTGGAGCAGGTAACATCCAGGTTAATTGACGCCGAAAGCCTTCACAAGTTTTGCCCGAAGCCACTTGATGATGACTTATTGGTTCTGCGCTCGCGGGAGGTGCCGAGAAGAGACGGTGAGCTGCGTCACACAATAGATCGTGTCCCTCGACCTCATGATTCAGTCTTGGCCATAACATCAGCAGTATTTATGCTCTTTCAAAAAAAATTGGACATTACAAGACCATGCCCAGGTATACACAAAGGTAAACCAAGGCGGTCCTCTGGCCTCCAGGCTTTGCGTTTGGTACGCGGCGCACTTTCGGGTCCTGCAGTAAACTGGCAGCCTCGTAATACCGCACCGCGAATGACACAAGCTGATTCCCGCGCGACCGCATGGTTCGGGACGGCTCGCGCGTTACCTGGCAGCAAGTTATCTGGATGATCTGGCACCATACGAATACACCTACCTGCGAACATATGCACGAGCTATGCCTTTGACCAAGAGGCGACTCTTAGGTGGCCACGTTCGCCTGCATATAACTAACCCGCATGGGTGTGACCGTGCCCTATCTGCATTCGCCCAACACATACACCTACTGTCTAAGGCCGTATATTGTCGCCCTCTACTAATGCGCTTCGGAATGCAGGCAAGTGACTGCCAGCACATCACAAGCCCTCTGCGCTTTCGCTGGAGCATGCTACACTCCCGCCCTGTCAGAGCGTCGGGTAGACTCGATTCTGCCCGACAGCTCCTGTGTACTTCTTGTCCAGACTGGGGCGCCTGGTCCCAACTTTCCTCTTATTGTCACTCATATTCCTCGCTCCGTTACGCTGATATACTCTATTTGCTCTTTCCGTCTCCTGTCCGGCTCTCGCTATTCGAAGTCCTGGTTCTGTAGCCATCTCACCGTCGACCGGTTCCCCACATCACGCATCTGCATCATTCTTCGTTGGTCACGATTTGTCCTTTAAACTCGAGCCTATCCTGCTGTGCAGCGATGCAACACGCTTCAAACTCTCCCTGGCGAATGCCTGCCATGGACTACCCAAAACCACAATACAGCCTCCAGCACACCATCTCCATGGTCAATCTCCACGATGAGCAACCGTGGTATTCCAACCGAGGGCCTTCATCTCCTACAGCTTCCTCGGCATCGACTTCTACCAGTCGGAGCGCTACGCCCACAACCACAAATAACAACCCGTGGTCGAACATAATGGCGAGCCCAAGCTCGACAAATTCTGGCAAGTCTGCCAGTTCATCACCCAAGGACAGCCCAAATCATACCCCGCAGTACCCGAGTCGTTCCACAACGCCCATTGCCCCCCAACCGGTCAGGATCATCAACGCGGTAGCAGGGTTTGCACCTATGTCGCCACCTCCTTCGGCGACGGGGGAATCATTCAGAATTGGAGATTATCCTGGATTGTCTATGCCGAGCTTTCCGGGTTCACCTAATCCATACCGACAGCCAGTTGCTCCTCTCACCCCCCTTGTGAATGGGTTCATTAACACTTCTACCCTCTCATCACAAGGACAGTCACTATCTGGATGGTTTTATGATCTCTGTCGAAAGCAAGGGTGGGATGGTGGACTAATAAAGAAGATATGGCAATGGACGTTATCGAACCCCAGACTAGCCATACTTCTCTGGTTATGCGACGATGTTGCTTCTTGGCGACAAGCTTCGTTCTTCGATCTCAGAGATGAGAGCTTACCCTTTCCCGAGGACCGTCTCCAAGGGATCGTTGGCAATGCGCGCAAATTTGTGGAAGAGCAATGGCGCGCTACTTCGAAAGAGCTAGCGTTGACGGGCGGTCACGTTGATTTCACAGCACGCGAGACTGTTCCTTTACAGCCGCTTGGAATGATCCGGTGCTCGAGGAACTCCGAGAAGAGTGTCGACCGAGTACGACTCCTGGGTAACACTGAGGAGCGTGTCTTAGTTCGAAAGCGATTCGTGACGGCCCGTTCATCTCAGAAGGCGGCCGTCATAGAGCAGATTAATAAATTCAAACAATACGAGCATAAGAGCATCGCCAAACTGCTTTGTTCATACGCCCAACCAAGTCATGTTGGCATCGTAACAGAGCAAGCGCAATATAGTCTCGATGACTACCTGTCGCAGTCAGGCCACGACTCAAATCGCGCAAAACTGCTGGTCGACTGGATGTACGATCTGGCGTCCGCTCTCGAATACCTACATTCTCAGTCCATTTGTCACCGCAGTATTCGGCCCCGTAAGATTCTCATTGATGGAAACCGCATATTTTTCGGCCCTTTCGACATTGGCCAGAATATTGATACTTTCAGTCCCACCAACGCCACATCCCAGCGTCTAGACCAGCTACATACCTATTTTCAGGACCAATCCTATGTCTACGCTGCACCGGAAGCCATCGTGTCACGTGGTAAACGCATGGCAGATGTCTTTTCGCTAGGCTGCGTCTTCCTGTCTATGATGACAGCTGCGCAGAACCAGTCTCAGTCCATGTTTGCCACATACCGTGCAGGCTCCACGCAAGACGCCTCATTCCACGCCCATCTTGAGAGGGTAGCCAGCTGGCGTAACCGCCTCCACGCGGCGACCACATCCGGCCTGCGAAATGGGCTCATTGGTTCTGGTCGCAAGCTGCGCCAACTAAAAGCTGAGTCGGAATGGCTCAGCATCATTGAGAAGATGACTCTGGCGCGGCCTAAGGAACGCATCAAGATGAGCCTTGTGCTCGCCAGCCTAGGGACCGTCAATGGTAAAGTTGCTGGCCATGGCCGACGACGCAGTCTAGACGGTGGGGGATACAGTGGACATGCCGCGAGCAGTCTGGGACTAGGGGGTGGGGGTACGACGGCAGCCGCATTGGTGGACATCTCTGAGACAGCAACGACGACAACGACAACGGCAGCGCCGGTAGCAGCAACAGCGCCAGCACCCGCGCAAACGCGCAAGCCCGAGTTGAGCGTTTTTGACGGCTACTTTATGAGTCAAAACCGGAGGCTAGAACCGGCTGGTGGGTGGTAGAGAAGAAGTGAACAAAAAGAACACGGCAATGTTTTGCACTCTACTCAAGAGACACGCCACGTCACACAAAAAAATACCGTTGACCGCGCAATGTGAACATATCCCCCTTTTTATTTCCTTCTCAAGAAGCAGGACAAGCAAGACAAGACAAGGAAACTCCATGTTCCCCCCCTTTTTTTCCATACCCCTCTTGCATCCTTCTCCTTCTCCTTCTCTTCTCTTTACCTCCGCCCCCCCCCTACATCTACCTTCTACCTTGTTCACTTGCATGGGCTGGTTTTTTGATACCCCCCCCTCAGCGTTCCATGTATGCTATCTATTCGCCACCTGGTTTCTCCCAGCCCGGTTGTTGTTCGCCCCGATGGGTTGAGGGGGACATGGTGGCGTGTCTAGCAGAGCGTAGCGTAGCGTAGCACAGCACAGCACAGCACAGCACAGCACAGCACAGCACAGCACAGCACAGCACAGCACAGCACAGCACAGCACAGCACAGCACAGCACAGCACAGCACAGCGTAGCATAGTCTTTACTTTTAGACTTCATCCCATCGATTCTTCATCATCATCATCATCACAGATGGAAATTTTTCGCATGCTGTTTTGCGTGGTTTTTGTGGGGTGGTATGGCATGTAAGGGATAGTTTTATGTTTACTTTTAGATGTAGTGAATTAAGGGGGGGGGCTGGAGGTTTACTGGGATCTCTGCTACGGTATTGTTATTGTTGGGTTACTCTCCTCTCGATACCCCTGCCCTCTAGAATCCGCGCTGTTTATCTCGTGTATATGCGCTGTCGTGCTACAAGTGCAGTATAGGGGAGAGAGGAAGGGTAGGTGGAGGAATGGGTGGGGGGCATGCGTGAAATGCAATGAGTGAGTTGAGTGAGGAATGCGGCGAGAGCCATCCAGGTACACTTAATGCATATTTGTGTTGGGGATTGACGATTGAAATCTGATCAAAGCGTTGGCTTAACATTACAGCGAGACACGCAAGGCAAGATAGGAGGACAAGACACCACTGGACAAGATGAGCAATAAGGGGAGGGGGGGAGGAGTCTTAATTTCCCAATCCCAACTTGCACAATCACAACCACAACTGTTCTATCCTGAATCCACTATTTCAACCAGGCAAATGAGCCATGCATGCAGCACACAACACACAACAGCCCAACTTTTCCAACTTTTCCAACATGCGTCCATCCCACCATCCAGAATCAAGCACCAAGACCCTCCCAACCTCCCTACTTCAACACCCCAAAACTCTTACCCCGCATGCTCCACAATCTCACTAACCACCCGGCCATCCCTAATAAAACTCCGTATCTGCTCTGGCAGCGCCTCCTCGCCATAATCCCCATCGTCACGGGGCAAGTTGAGATTGACGCTACTGCATTTACTCGTAAAGACCTCTGTTTCCTGGCTTTCTTTGCCCAGGTAAATGGTTGCGCCGTCCACCTGGTCCAGTAGGATGGTGGGCAACGTGCCCAGGACTTGGAGGGCAAAGTTGGGGCACTTGATGACGTCGACAGAAGAGACGAGCGAGTCGATGATGAGCGAGGTACGCGACGAGTTGTCGAGCGAGAGCGCGTTGGCTTTACCGTGGATGCGGAGGGTCGTGTTCTTGCAGCGTGAGATGAGGATGGAGTGGTTGATTTCGGCGTGGATTTCTAGCATTTCTGAGGGAGAATCAAAGGAATCCTGTCGCGGCGTACTATGTTAGCTGCTACTCTTATGCTACTGCCATGATATGGTAATTATAAATGACATACTATTATCCACTTGTTTCCGTCCAATTCCATCTTCGGCGGCTTCTTAGTCCGCATTGCTTCTGGTTTGGGCTTCTTGCCGGGTGCTGGGCTCTTGCCCCGTAGCGAACCACTGCTATCGCTGCGTGTGGGAACAGGGGCGCTAGCACGTAAAGAAGGGTTCTTATGGGTCATCTGGCTTGGATCCACCTTCTTCAGGCCCTTGGTAACGTCGGCGCCCTTGTTGAGCTCACCAAAGACGGCATTCATGTCTGGCGCTGCCTTCTTTGCAGCTGGTGCGGCGCCAGGTGGCGGCGGTGGGCCTGGTGGCGGGGGAGGACCTGGTGGAGGAGGAATACCTCCTGCGGGTGGTGCTGGAGGTGCTGGAATGCTCGAGGAAGCGCCACTGGCAATGTCTTTGGCGGCGTCTTTTGCGTCGATGCCATTGGGATTCCATGCTACGCCGCCGAAGTGGTGTTTCTTTGCGTACTCGGAGAGGGCTTTGAAGAGCTTGTAGTATGCCTGCACCCATTCGACGTTTGCCTTGCCCTCGGGCCTGCCTCTGTTAGCCACCCAGTCCTTACGCCAGGATAGCTTGAGAGAAAACTTACTTGTCTCGGTGCTCCTTAAGCACCTTGTTGCCGTACATCTGGGCGCCACCTACAAGCTCGTTGATGTGCTCATGGGGCTTCATGCCGCCGCCCGCCCCAATCGTCACCCAGCCCAGGGATCCGACACCGTCTGCGACCATGGACAGCGGGTCCTTGAGGGCCGGATCGCGATTGCTCTGGCGGAACTCGTCCGTCTTCTCCATGCTCGCCTGCAGATCCTTGAGCAGCTCCATCATGGTACGGTCGTCTGGCTTCTTTGCCTTGTTCGCAATGAAGAGGAATTGTCGCTGGGCAGCGAAGGCCTGCTGTACCGCCTTGGACTGGCCTTCGATGACGTCGCCCAGCTGGTGGCTCAAGTCCAACCAGGTCTTCAATTCGCTGTTGACCAGGTCGTCAAAGGCCTCAATGGCGGGCGGAGCGCTCTCTGCGACGACTGCGGGGGCGGCATGGGGGCCAGCAGACAGGGCCGGGGCAGCTGTCGAGGAGGTTGTGGCGATCAGTCCGGGCGCGGCTGCTGTATCTGATTCGCCGGCCGAAGGAAATGAAGAGCTTGCTATGTCTTCGAGGCGCGAGGTGGCCGCTTCTAGCCTGCGGATCATCGACGTTAGTTGGCTGTCCACGCGGAGTTGCATTTGGCCCTGGAGGCCGAGGATATGCGGCGTCTCAGGCTCGGTGGCCATGGTTCCGGCCTCGTGGGGTTACGAATGGAGGGAGAGAGGGGAAGAGAGGGGAAGAGAAGAGAGAGAGAGAGAGAGAGAGAGAGAGAGAGAGAGCATCAACTTACCGCTTGATCAGGGTAGTAAGGTTGTTCATGTTGCTCTGGGCCATAGCGCAGGGGAAGGCGCGTTGCAGCAGCGTTGAGCAACAGGGAAGGTGCTGATGGGACTTGCAAGCTGAAGCTGGAACGGTTCAAGGGGAAAAGGAAGACGGCGAGATGCCGACGACCGTCTCTCTGCCTGTGCGCTTTGCGCGGGAGAAAGAGGTACAAGTGTAGTTGGTGAGTTGGGTACCTAGAGCAGTAGTAGGTAGACAACAAGCATAATCAAGTAGCTAAGTACAAGAGAGTGGGTTGTGGAGGATAGATACAATTAGGCGTAGAGTCGAGTCCAAGTAAGTAGAGTAGAGAGTACACAGTAGAAAGTACAGAGCACAGAGGATCCATGTAACTCGTATCAAATCAATTAGCCTTTGACGGTCTGTCGCTTCACCCTTCCAAGCAACCCCCACACCCAGACCACCCTACCTGCCTTTGCGCTAGCTGCATGCCAAGCACGGCTGCCCTGCAGCCCTGCGTCAGCTCTCTCTCTCTCTCTCTCTCTCTCTCTACTCCAGACTCAACTCCAGACTCTAGATTCTAGACTCTACTGTAGACTCTACACCTACATTCTATACTACTACTACTACTACTACTACTACTACTACTACTACTACTACCTACTTTACTATACTCCAGCCACATACCTTCCTTCCAACAAAAGATATATCCCCAACATGGCCGACATTGACTTCTGCACTCTGGGCATGTTCATCATCGGTATGTACACGTTCCCAGTACCTACTAACTCTCCAAGTTGCATGCATCGTCTACCAGATCTTCCTTTGCTCAACCCGTCTCAGACGAAATCGAGTTTGCCCCACCCAAGCCAGCCGTCAGAGACATTGTAGGCGGCGGGGGCTCATACTCCGCATTGGGAGCACGCATCTTCTCTCCCCCTCCAAAATCAAGTTCGGTGGGCTGGATAGTGGATTGCGGGTCAGACTTCCCGCCTGAGCTTCGACGCGTCATTGCTCACTGGCAGACTGGTGTACTCTTTCGAGAGACGCCTGGTCGGTTGACTACGAGAGGATGGAATGGCTACGGGGAACATGAGCATAGAGGTAGGGAGTGGTGATGTCCCACCCTTTCTCCTTTGTTTGCTAATCCAGGCGGTAGCTTTCCGCTACATGACACCCAAACTGCGCATAGATCACCTTGCCTTAGTTGACACGCCATTACTATGGGCCAAGTCGTTCCACCTCATCTGCTCACCGCTGCGTTGCATTGATCTCGTCCAGAACATTCTTCACTTGCGTCAACAAGCGTCGGATGGGCAGTCAAGTCATCACCCTTTGTTCATATGGGAACCAGTGCCTGACCTCTGCATTCCTGAAGAGGCTGAAAACTGTCTAATAGCACTCAAGTTGGTCCATGTCGTCAGCCCCAATCATGGAGAACTTGGCGGCTTCTTCGGCAACGACACCAATGGCAAAGATGCAGTCGACTTTCGACTCGTCGAGACGCTGTGTAGTCAATGGGTAGAGAGTGGTATTGGGCCTGACAGTAATGGCGCGAGTGTAGTCCGATGCGGTAAAGATGGATGTCTAGTGGCGCGGAGGGGAGTGCAAAAGTGGCTGCCTGCGTATCATCAGTCTGCAGAAAAGGTCATTGATCCGACAGGCGGTGGTAACGCCTTCTTGGGTGGGCTAGCGGTCGGGCTGGTTAGAGGGGACGCAGAGCCTGCCATCGAGAACCTGGAAGAGGCTGCAATCTGGGGTTCTGTCGCAGCAAGCTTTGCTATCGAGCAAGTCGGCATGCCAGTCCTCTCCTACACTCCAGAAGGCGAAACATGGAACGGCGTTCGCGTTGTAGATCGTCTTTCAGAATTCAAGAATCGGGTGGCTAAATATATACAGCCGTAGCACAATGCCCACTTCCTCCACACGTCCACGCTCGCGTCCCTCCCACTCAGCCTTTAGCCGCCTTCTCGAGTGCTTTCTTTTCGTCTTCTCTACGCTCGTGCTCGATAATCTGTTTGCTCCAACTGCAGGGGACTGTTAGCCGCGAGTCTCCTGATATGCATGGTGCGGGTGCATGAGGCGAGGGCTGCTCGTACTATCGGCTGGGGAAGAATCGGTCTCGATCGGGCATCTTGTCTCGGTGCTCAAGCCTTGCGCCTAGACTCCAGACCATGGCCACGAGGCCGGTGATAGTCAAGCCCACGATGGCCGTGTTGGCCTTCCAATTGCTGGGCTGGGCATACCAACCACCGGCCGGCGACCAGACGTGCTTGGGGTACCTGTCGCGGTAGGGGGTCAGAAATGCGCATTGGGTAGATGTGGGAGAACGGGATCTTCGTACGGGATCTTTCCTCCTCCACCCATTGTGAACAGATAGTCGTGATATGGTCTTTATGTGGGCGGGATGGACGTCGTCGGAGTTGGGGGAACATGAAGGTTCACGGAGCTAGCTTCATGCCCGCCATCGACTCCCCGCACGGGCCCCATGCTTGGCAGAAATTCTTTGGCAATTGCAACTTGCTAATACTATCGAACAAGTCGAAGAGAGCACACGAGCGGATCAATTGCTGCTGTCTCTCTTGCCTTGTCTCGCCATCCCGCCCCGGTCTCTGTTCTCCCTCTTCCTAGCAGGGTTTCGTTGTAATGAAGCGCATATCCATATCACGATGCGCCTCACAATGGCTGGCACAACCATCGTCGCATGGCCAGCCCGCGTGCCCACATGCTGCGGCGAGGAACGTACGCCGAGGCCTCACATGGTACAACCACCACAGGATACACGCTCGGTTGCAGTCGACGGCAGCCGTGTCTAGTGATAATGCTCCCATAGATGCCCTCTCAGCGGTATTCGAGCAGGTCAAGCCAGCGGCCAAGTCACGGTCCAGGTCCAAGCCTGCACCTGCACCCAAACTTCCACAACATATTGCCAACAAGCCCCTCGAACAGCTGCCATCCCCGCATCCAAAAGCCGCTGAAAGTTCGACAAAACTTCATGCCCTGCGAAGTCGACTATCCCTACCCCCACGCTTCCCCCTCCAAGTCCTCGCCCGCACACTGGTGCATCCCTCCGCCGACCCAGATCCCGCCTTCAACAACGCCTCGCTCTCGATACTGGGACGCCATTTGCTGGGCTACTATACCTCGGAGTGGCTGTTATGCAATTACCCACGCCTACCAATGTCGGTGCTGTTCGCTGCTGTGGAAGCATACATTGGACCCAAGGCATTGGCTACCGTAGCCAGTGAGTGGGGTATCGAGGCTGCGGCAGAGCCTGGTGGTGAAGTGGAACCAGGGCTGCTACAATTCAAGAGAATCAAGGCAGGCGAGCAACTTCCAGCAGTCTTGACACGGCAAGTACCATGGAAGTGGAACGTCACCACCACGCACAAAATCATGAGGACGGACGAATTTGGCTCGAAAAGTGCGCCAGTAGGCGCACATACGCTACAAAAAACACCGGTCCCAATGGAAGAAGCAGCACAGTCTTTTGTCCGAGCCTTGATTGGCGCATTGCACCTTCACCTTGGATCTCCTCTCGTCAAGCGCTTCTTCCGCGACCACTTCCTCAGCCGACATCTCGACATCAGCCAGCTCTTCGACTTCCGCACGCCGACGCGCGACCTTTCCCGCTTATGTGCGCGTGAGGGCCTCGAACCGCCCATAGCCCGTCTGATCTCAGAAACGGGACGACTGAGCGCCTACCCCGTATTTGTGGCGGGCGTGTACAGCGGCAGAGACAAGCTGGGAGAAGGATCGGGAAGCTCGTTGGACGAGGCGAGAGTGAGGGCGGCGGCGGCAGCACTCAAGGCCTGGTATCTCTACAGGCCGGTCGAGGTCACAGTGCCCAGCAGCACAGAGGGCGAAGTGGACTCGAGCAAGTGGCGGCCCAACCATGTCGATTGTGGCGAGGTGATTGTGTAAAGATATGCGGGTTTTTTTTATCAAAGAAGAAAAAAAACTACACTTTTGGCGTCATCACTTGACTTGGTTTCCCAATCCATGTCCTCTGTTTATTTTCATCTTATCTTATCAGATTCCCTGGTCGGGGGGGTTGCGTAGATGGGTCGGCAGCATTTCAATGTGGGGCTTTGGGCTGTACGTGTACAATGGCGAAAGGCTAGGCAGGTGATGCAAAACTTCCATCATGAGCCCATGTTCATCACGTTCGAGCACGGGTTTTTCTGGTCCGTATTTGCCATGTTCTGTTTCTTTATTTTTTGTGTCTTTTTGACGGATGGAGAGGGATGGAGAGGGATGGTGTGGCATGGTGTGGCAGTTCCCCTGGTTCTATAGGTTAGGAAGAGGGACTGTGTGTATTATATTATATGTGACATCATCATCATTCACACGTGCGAGAAGATACCACGGTTTATGAAGATCTTGTCGATGTTGCTTGAGCTGGGTTTTGTGGTGTTGTGGAGATGGGGGTGGTGGGGATGGTGGGAGGTGTGAGGAGTTCGGGTTGGGGTTTGATAGTCAAGTTGACAGTTCAGGTTTGGGAGTCAAATCATGATCGAGTCACAAGGTGTCACGGATAAAGTCACCAATTAGAAGATATGCAGTTCTTGAGGTGGTGGTGGGGATGTGGAGTTGTGGTATGTGGGACGTGGTATGTGGTGTAAGTCTAGTTTATACATTCATTTGTTTGTCAAGTCATTCTCTTGATCATTAATTTTCTTGTGGAGTCATTCTCTTAGTCATTCATTCGTTTACTCATTCACTCGCTAAACACAAACATCTTCCTCACAACTACCCTATATATACCCCATACTTATCCCCCAACACTTATCCCCGTAACACCCACAACACAAACATTACCCTAACACACATTGCAGCATCTCATACCCTGCATCCTACTTAACATCCCACTATCAAGTAAATTATCTTCCTCCTATTCCTCCTCCTCCTTGTCGCAAATACACACCAATCCCACCCCACCAACCCCTATTCCCAGCCCCCCTTCCCATCCAATGCCCACCGAAGTCAGACATCTAGATTCGTGGACATGTCTGGCACCAGACGAGAACGGAATTAGTTGCGGTGTTGTTAATGAAGGGAGACATGCGCATTGTCGGCGTTGCAAGTGTTTGAGGCCTTGATGAGTGTACGTGGTGAGTACGGGGGGTGGGCAAAAGGTTTGCGCTGCCGGGGGATAGGGTTGTGGGGTTGAGTCGAGTTTGGTCGATTCTTGAAGTGGTACAGGTGTGTTCTTTCGAGATCATCTGTAGCACCCATCCTGACTATGGCGGTGACTGCCCTCACTGCCACGGGCGAGAGCTCATCCCATGTTGGCTGGATACGTCTTGATCGAGACTATTAGGTATACCGGTAGTTGATAAATGAAGACATCTGTAGGTTTCTCGCCTCCATCTCTTGAATCAAAACGTTACTCACTTGCTTCTTGTATCAAAGTGTGCTCTTGAGATGCGTGGACTTGGTCTGGGGGAAGGGGCTTTCTTTTTGGACTTTTGAGAATGTCGGGGTTTGATTATATCTCGAGTGTGGGATTTCGTGTAGGATTGCATGATGGGGGTAGATGGATGTTGCATGTGAGAGTTTGCTGTTGACAGAAAATCTTGGTAGAGTCTCCAAGAGTTTGCCATGTATCGAGTGGAGCTCAGTTCTGAATTGAGGGCAAAGTCAGATCACTAGATCTTGAGTTGATAGCCCGAATGTTCTGTTGTGAAGGAAAGCAGCGTGGTTTTTTGTGATTTAGAGCAATTGTATATACCCAGACGTGCAGCAAGGATACGAGACCGTTATGGGATCTAAGACGTACCGGTAGTAGAGTGGGGGCGTCTGGGATAACATTGGTACCGAGTACATTGCTAGTACACCTGCTAGAGACGTTAACGTTAGAGTAGCCGTCCCTCCCTAGTTGATCTAGCCCGTTCCCCACACTTCAACAACATCACTAATTCTTGACCTCTGCATCTCACTCACATCTTTTAGAAGGCCATTTTGATGCAGACACACACGTCTCGATGTCGGACATAAGCATGTTTATCCGACTGGATGCGCCTTCTGCACACACACCATCACGACTGGCCCGCATGCAATCCGTAGTACACTCTGATCTCATCTGGCCACCGTCTGTTAATGGAAAGGATCATACTGTTGACGAGCCTATTTCGCATCGCCTTTGGTGTGTCCCAAGTTTCTTCCTCGAGTCGTGCTCTCACATTTGCGCAGCTCGACCCAACAACAAAGTCATCGAGCACAACGATTCGCATTGTCTAGGCCAGTGATGTTTCTATGGATACCATGCAACTTGGCATGCAGCAAGCTCACAGTGGCACGCCACGCCTCAAGACAGCTGTCAGGCATACAGCTGACCTTGCCATAAGCACGATTTGCGCCAGGCCATGGTACCCCGCTTGCAATATCATCCAAATGTCACCCAAGTTCAGCGGCATGAACTATGTGTGATTGCCAAGGCTGCCCACGCCTTTCTTGCAGCACACCAGGCAGGACTCATGGTCTTCCTGCCTGGGTGACACAGTCAAATGAAGATGCCAATGGCATGTTGGGGGTCCTGTTTACCCTGATACGTACTTGCAGGCCACTTTGGCCACGTAAAGCTGCGCCCCCTGACGCCCTTATCTGGCGAGTTTGGCTGCCTCATTGCCTACCTACTTCGGAGTTGCCCGATGGGAAGACGTGCCAGCATGAAACCAACTGGATGCTATATAATTTCACACCTTTCCCAGCACACTGGGGGCGGGG